CCAAAAAAAAAATTTTAATTTTAACGTTTAAAAAGAAATTAAAAAAAAAAAAAAAAAATAAATCTTGCAGAGCTGTGGTTATAAAGAGGATTGCAGATGTCTTAAGTGGGCTTTTTGCTTATTGATCTGTGTTCACCCTCACACTAATCTTCCTCTCAGTTATATCTGCGATTTCTTCATTTTATATTTCAATACTATTGGTGATTTATTTTATTAAAATATGAAAATATTGATAGTAACCCCTTGACACCCATCATTGCAACCAACCGTTTGTATTACAAAGATAGCATGTTTATTTCCTCAGTAGCAGTTATTACATTCAGAGAACAGGAACCTGCGCCGTCCGCCACTGTTTGGAGAAATGGAGGCAGGAGGTTGGCTTCAACCAAAGTTTCAATAAAATACACGTTTAATTTAGTGTGAAAAGAAATGAAATAATTCTCCTGTAAATTTATACATCATTTCTACTTTCAACGCTGCTTTACTCTCTATCAGACCATTTCTTTTACTATTTTATTAATTATCAGTATATTTTTGGTTTTTCCGACAGATCCCACTTAGATATATTATTATTTACATAAGCAATAGCTTCTGTTTAAATAACCAGCTAAAATAGATTTTTTTTTAAAAGTCCTCCTCAGTTATTGATCCTCTCAGACTAGCCAAGAGCTTCAGCTTCTACTATCAGCCAATCTGCATATCTCAAAATAGAGATGCTATTAGAGTTATTATCTGCAAGTGACATATAATATAACATTCACAAATTATAACATTTTTACATAACATAATCTAATTATTTCTGAACTATTCCTTTAAGGCTCACCCCAGTAACATTTAGAAGTTGTCCCAGCTGGGTTGCTAGGTCTTGAAGTGTCTTTGGCTGGACTTCTAAAACAGCGAGTTGTCCACCCACTGATATACCTCCATACCTGGACACCACAGAAAAACCTTCTCAAGTTAATGCTACAAAATATCTAAACAAAATATCACACAGACAAACTATGATCACATATATATCTGGTTGATGGCTTTTACGATTAGGTGTGATGATTCTGATGTTTTATTGTGTACTTCAGTGATGTTTTTACTGATTTTACTGCACAATTGCTCTGATGTGGGGTTTTTAATAATGTAAAGCAAATTGATTTCCCTAGCCACTAAAATAAGCAGGACAAATATATTTCTAGTTACTAACATCCTAATTGCAGTACACAACATAACCACAAGAGGGAGACTGCACCAACACAAACAATCACAACTCTCCACAAAATATGCATTAATTCAACATCATATGATAAGAGTTTTAAAGCTTTTACTGTATAAGATGGATAGAAATGTTTACTACCTCTGTTCATTGACCCAATATTTGCTCTTCAAGCTGCAGGTGGATGAAACAGAGACATTAGATAATTTCACAAGAAGTCAATAAAAGCATACGGTTCAAGTCTGTATTCTCTGAGTGGCTTCAAAGTCTCCCTACCTGGTCCTGATAAGGGTGGGGTAAGTTTTAACCAGATAGTCAGAGACGTTCCTACCAGTAAGGTCGAACAGAACATCTCCTGTTGACTGGATCCTCTGAATATCAAAAAAATTATAAATGATTATTCTAGACTCTCATTAGATGCCTTATCTACAGAAATTATTGTTGTTTTTTTTCCTGTAAAAAGTTTGGACATGTTCAGTACTAACTGACCAACCCACCTGTGGAGGAGGCAAACCCCCAGCTCCTTCAGGACACACAGGAAGCATGGTGAGTTTCTTGGATGTGCTGCATTGACATCCTGGAGAGGGTCTAAGAGGGGTCCACTCTGGGCTCTCCAGCATTTCAATCAAGGAGGGGTTAACCAGGGGCATCTCCCACTCAGTGGTGATGTTATTACATGGGAAATCTCTATGATGGGATGAAATTAAGCCGCACTGTAACACAATTTATTCCAAACTCCAAAAAATGAAAACAGATCTATTACTCACTCCAAAGGTTCATCGGCCATGCAGCGCGTCCCGAAACCAGGCTTGTCAAGCAAAACCTTAGCAAAATATCTCATCTGCGCATCCATGGGGCGCTCATTGCTGTAATGGATTATTATATTAGTCCCTTAAATTTATGTTGTTTCATTAAGTTGAATTTTGCTATAGTTTTAATAAAGGGTAACTTGCACCCACCTGAAGAATGTGTACTGTCTGCCATACATCCAAGGAGTGAGGGTCACGCTCGGATACTCTCCAAAAGGAGGGACTATGCGTGTCATCATCAGTGCCAAGAAGACAAAGCTGGCTGGAAGCACAATCTGAGAGGGCCAACAAAAAAAGAGCCTTAAAAACAAGGAAATAGTTTTGAAATTTACCTCTCAGAGATCTTTGTACCTTTTTTTTTTTTTTACCATCTTAATCACTTTTTTATGCAATTAACCAACACAAAGTGGAGCATGTTTCTTAAAAGGAAGGAGAAGGAAGGATAAACCTTTTTTTAAATGTTGAAAGTGTCTATTTACTTTGTTATAACTACGTATGCGTGGGGTTTTTGTACACATTTACAGAGCCCTGTAAAATAATAGCTAAAACTTTTTACTCTTTCATCCATTGCTCTTTATATTGGCTTCATTATAACAAATATTGCATTTTTTTTTCTTGTGCTTAAGGGCAACAGGTGTTACATTAATTTCAGTCCCTTGGTTTCCTGGTCTTTTTCAGTCTGCTCATTCTATCACCAGAGTAGCATCAAATCAAAGTCTGCAGTATATCTATGTAAGCGAATTGATTGTGGTAAGATTCCTAATTAAGTATATGAATAACATCAAGAGGGATGCTAACTTTGCATACACTACCTCTTAGTATTCTACATTGGGAAAGTATTTCACATTAGAATAAAACTTAATTTATTTTAAAAACTGTTGTAATGTGGAGATAAAATGTGAAGCATTTTTACATGTGTTTGCAAGAACTTTACCTTTAGTAAATATACTTAATAACACATGTTGTAGATCATTTATCATCCCTAAACCCTCTGCCTTCTAAAAAAGCAAACTGAAAATGATATATAATTGTTGAAAATTCAATTAATATTGATATGGTTTTGTATTATAAATCACAGAAAGGTAACCTGGGCAATGAAGTCTTTGTAAGAGCGTGTGGCATGATGCCACCTCTTGATCAGCAGAGCAAAGAACTGTTTGATGATCAAAGAGAGGCCTCTAACTTGGTAGGATCCCTTGCCTGCACTGCCCTCTGAAATCTCACTTGGTCCATGGCCGTTGGATTCTGAAAGGGAAAAAAACATAGTATTGTTGGCAGAAAGTAACTTGCACCTACAAATTAAGAACAGGAGGGAGCTAAGCATTGGTTTCTACGTCTGTCAAAATCTATTGGTCAGCAAGACTCTTTAAAGGCACTTCTAGTAATACAGCGGCGCGAAAGAAGGTTAAACATGCGCTGTGTTTGCACTCAGAAGCTCTTAAGATCGGAAATAAAACCAGATCCCCTATATATTTTATTACCACTTCAAATGTTATTTTACCAGTTGCACATGTTTTAGATATTAAAAAGGAAAAGGGTGTTAAGAAGACGATAAATTGTCCACACTTTTTGTTGATTTCCCAATTGGCTTTCATACACAAAGCACAATAACTAGTTCCAGCATCTTTCCCACATTTCCGAGATCCCAGACTTCCGAGGCAAACTGAATGCAGCCTAAGCTCATTTCAACTGAAGCAGCTGGTCTTGTAGGCTATGAGTCAAATTCAGCCAATGTGATGCCCTTTGTGCTGTTGTCTGGCATAACATACCAGAGCATACCTTCAAATGTAGAGCATTTCTCTATCATAGAAAATGATCCAGAAGGCAGTTATGAAAACATCTTGTAGAGGCAAGGATGCATTTTTGTCTTGTCACTAGGGGTAAGGTGCATGTGTTAGAGATATGTATGGATGTGCGTGGGTGGAGATGTACCGGTAAGTGGGTGGGTGGAGCTGAATGATTGTCATATAAATATCACCTGGATCCGCTCAGGGTTCTGTTTGTTTGATACAGAGAGAGGATAAGGCAGGGTGCCATTATTTCTGTTGACTGCAACTTTAAAGCCTATTAAATACGCAACTCTATCTATTGTACAATAGATACAAAAATTGTACAATATTGTACTATTTGTATGTTAGTCACTTACACATATCCCATGGTAATTGTAAAGGTGTTAAGAAGTTTAGCATAAAGACTAAGGTACAAGATAACAGCATAAAGCTATGTGTGTTTTGGATGGTTGGGATCATACCAAGAAGTCACTGTTGGTTTTTGTTTGAACCAAATTTGATCTCTGCAAATTGCCATCTTTAGAGACTGCTCACTTTCTCCATTAGCATCTTTGTGTTTTGTGTCTAGCTATTTTCACTTATAAAGTGTTTTTGACATTTATCCAAATTTTAGGCAGCATCAACCTTTGGAAAAAAAACTCAAAAAGCATGTTTGTCTGACAACAGCTGCAGTGGTTGAGCTTAAAGCTATGGTCACCTTTTTGTGCCTCCAAATCAACAGCCACTCTGTTGAATCCACAGAGACTAGCTCGAGAAATCTCTCGCAATGATTTATTTTCTGAGAGGTAAAGAAAATAACACAGGAGACATGACACACAATTGGAGGGGTAGACTTCAAACAGGTTAAAGCTACAGTAAGACAGAGACAAGACAGCTTATTAAAACAACGTGGGAGTTACGTTGTCCAGCTTTCCCATTCACCATTTTGTACTTCTCAGTTTTTTTCATGAAAAATGTTTGTCTGCTATATATAGAAGCAGATTGGGGAGGGGGGGTTTGGACACAGGTCTAAGCATACCCTGGTGATGCTTCTGTCATGCGTTTGATGCATTTCATTATCCTGCCTAGCTCCGCCCAATTTCTCAGTACCACTCATCATATCCACCTGTTCTAGCTTCTATTTAAACTGCTTGCTCCCAGTCATCAATGCCAGATTAT